TACTACTACCTCACAGAGCTACCAGGAATATTAAATTTTATAAAGCATTCAAAGAAGTTAGCATAATACCCAGCATGCAGTTAGAAAATGTCTGGCTTCTGGCCAAGCCTGCACTGCACATGGTCCAGGCAACCCCAACTCTGCAGTACTTCAGTGCTGTGCAAAGAAACCTCCTCAAAGTACTCCATCACACATGTAGACCACAAATATCTACATTTCTCAATTTTCAAACAGCTTTTTATCCTAAATTCAATTTGATTATCTTAATTAGCCTGTTGGAAATTTAAAAAAAAATTTTTCAACCTATTTAATTTTTTTATTAGGCAGAAGCTATTTCTCCAGTCATTTAATTTTGTCTTAATAGCAATTCTTTGATAGTATATTTGCTACTGTTTATCTAAGCAGGATAAACTTATTTAGTAATAATGTCACACAACTGTCTAGTGGCTGAGCTGGGATTTGAACCCATAGTGAAGAGTCACATTCTTCATTCTTTTTATACATTCTCATGTGTAACCAATGTGGTACATGGTTTTTCTGTATCACTTGGCTCCATCTGTTGGAGCACCACCAAATCTTACTAAATCAAATCAAGTCATGTACCACAGAATTTTCTATGTGTAAAAATATCCTCATACCTAAACATCTATTTACTCATTATCCATCCCAGAAATCACTGTCAATTACCTACCTGTTTCTGTGGAGAGTTTATTTTCCTACATGTACACTGAAAAATTTACAGGCTATCTTTTTGTGATTTATAAACATGAATAAAGTTGATAGATTAGGACTCTTCCATTCATTTTGTTCACAAAAGGAAAAATGAGACAAGATATAACTGTTGCAGAGATAAAGAACTCAGATTATTTTAAAAGCATTTACACAACAACTTTTTCACATTAACCATTAGTGTTTTCCATTTGTGATATAAAATCACATATTTTAATGGAAAAAGCCAACTTTTATGTGCCACAGACCTCATTTTGGAAATTGCTCTTTTGACTTCAGTGTTTTTGTGTTGTTTTAATAAGCAGTTCCCAAAAATACTATGAAATTCCACAAAGCATGGCAGATTGGACTGTGAATAATGTGGTTTAATGTTTCTGCCAATCTGAAATGTTTGTTTTCTTGTTAGGCTCTTGTACCATTCCACCTAAATTTGCTTGCATTTCCTAAAAGAGTTCTACAAAGTTTGGCCCTTTAGGAGACACACAGCCACCAGTATTTTTATTAAAGGTAAGAGGGTTTTGTTTTTTTTTAACCCTCTTCTTCTTTTCCTTTTTGATAGAATAAGTTTCAGTTCTAATTTGATTGCTTGCAACAAAATTTGTATTGACTAAAGTTTCACTATTCCAGATTTCTTTGTCAAAGGTGCAATATAGAGCCTCTGGAAAAATTATTCAAATAATTCCAAAGAATCCAACACATTTTTTCAATTATTCTTTAAAACTATATTTCAAAATTATGCTCAAATACTATTTTCATTCATGCTATGGACTTTTTTTACTATCTACTCTGCTGCTGTTAAAAGAATTTTTTTTTAACATGCACATTTGGTTTATGATTTTTAGAGATAAAAACATTTATGACTTGGTACAAAGTTTTTTTTCCACATCCCCAATTCTGTTAACAGTTACGGCAATTCATTAGTTTATTGACTCCCCCACTTACACACACCTTTTTGTTAAGTTTGCACAACTGATGAAACAGTTAATTAATCTGGCTGGCATCTGTAATGAAAAAGAGAGTACTTGCTTTTAGGCCATGGACTCAGTATGTAAATCCCTCGTGTGGCTGCAATCTTAATATTCCTGCAGCTATGGTGTCACCTATTGTAATTTTTCTGGTAATAAACAAATTTGAACTAGTCAGGAATCCTAAATTTTGAGACTAGTTGTTTATCTGAAATATACTCCAGAGAAATAGTAATGCAGTTCTGCTTTGAATTTAATTTAAACAGGAACAGGCAAAACAAATCTCTATGGAGGATATTTGACAATAATAAAATATTTCTCCCAGCGGGTGAGCTGGTAGCAATTGTATTGTTGCAATCCAAGCTCACGTTTCAGGAGGTCATTACCATCATAACAAGCCCTTGGACCAACTGGCATGGACATGCAACATTGAGCCCCTGATGGGCACATTATTTCAGACCTTTAACTTCATGGAGAACAAGATAAATACTCCTGGGAAAGGAGGATTATATTTTGAAATTCCTTTCTTTTCTATTTTGTTTTATAATAAGATGCACTACACAATCAATCTACCACTACTTGTTTCATTTTGTTTTCTCCACACTACCAAGGGGCATGGAAGCTAGACTTAAGAGATTGGAGGGGGCCAGGCACATCAACATAAATACTCCCTACCTATGGGACTATGGACATAGCCATTCGCTTTGTAAACCATTGTGAATGAAACAAAAACTCTTAAGTGTTATCTTTTTTTTTCTTTCATAGGTTAATCATAGATTGAATTGTTAAATAACCAAAGGGTACCTAAAGTTTTTGCAGTCCCAAAAAAGTCAATAACTTAGAAAATATAGCTAAGAGAAGTTACTCCAAGAAATCAAAATTTCTAAATTTATTGTTCTTTGTTTTTCAGTAGGGGAAAAAAATAGGTATTTTGAACCACATTCAAATTAAATTTAAAGTGCTTTAAAATCCAAAATGAGGTTTTAAAAATAAAAAAAAAATGTGAGATATTCTGCATACAAACTTTTGAGCAGCTATCTCCATTTTTATATATTTTTATCATCAGAAGATGTGGCTTAAGAGTCATCAAATAAAATGTGTTCTCTGTGTGTTTGGGGGAAGAATGGCCATGGGAAGGGCAGAAGTAGCAGTGGAGAAAGGGAAGCTTAAAACATTGGAAATAGATTTTACTGGCTTTCTGAATTATTTTTTAAAAATTATCTTTTTGTCTTGATTTAAAAGAAATTGTAGTCTGGGCATGGTGGTGCACTCCCGTAATCCCAGTGGCTCAGAGGACTCAAGGCCAGCCTTAGCCAAAAAATCAAGGCCCTAAATAACTGAGACCTTGTCTTTAAATAAAATACAAAAAATAGGGCTAGGGGTGTGGTCAAGTGCCCTTGAGTTCAATTCCAGGTAACCGCCCCCCACCCCCACCCCCACCCCCCAAAAAAAAGAAAAAGAAAAGAAATTCTATCAAAACTTTAAAGTAAATGTATGAAAATTATTAAAAACAAAACAAAAAACTTGTGGCTTGAGAAAGGTATAAAAGGTAAAGCAAGGCCGGGTGCAATAGTGCATACTTAGAATCCCAGAGGCTCAGGAGGCTGAGGTAGGAGGATTGCAAGTTCAAAGCCAGTCTCAGCAAAAAGCCATGTTCTAAGCAACTCAGTGAGACCTTGTCTCTAAATAAAATACAAAATAGAGCTGGGGATGTGACTCAGTGATCAAGTGTCCCTGAGTTCAATCCCTGGGTATCCCCCCAACACACACACACACACACACACACACACACACACACAAAAAAGTAAAGCAATCATTTCTCATTTTGTCTTGCACATTAGAATTACTTGAAGAAATTTTCCAAACATTCCAAAGCCCACATCTCAGACCAATGAAACCACCATCCTTGTGGGTAAGATATTGAGGATCACGAATTTTTAAGAGTCCCTAGATTATTTCATTATCTAGACTACCTTGGGAACCACTGATTTTAAAAAAATAACATATAAACAACTGGTGAAAATAAAAGTGATTTCTAAAAATAATAAGTAATCCATTTGTCAGAGCTACTTGTTTATATGAAAAAAAAAGGCGCAAAAATGCACAGTCTTCCTTTTATTTTCTATTACACTGGAGGCATTCATGATAAATGTCAGTACCAAAAAAGTTCTTATAATAATTCCAAATTATAAAAAAGCAAGAGAATTATGATATCTGACTCCTTAAAAGTGTGTGTGTGTGTGTTTGTGTGTGATTTTTAAATGAGGATCTCATTAGACTGCAGATGCAAGTTTTCTTGTTAGGTTTGTATCTCACACTGTTTCAGTTCCACCCAAATACTCTGAAAATACCAAAAGTAAAACACATCAGATTCTATGTTGAGCAGTGGCCACCCAAAGAACATTATAACAGGAAAAGACTGAGCTATCTGGCTAGTGAGCCCATGGAGTGATTTAGGTAATCTCATGCTCCTATAACCGTGGCAGCAGAGTGGCCTTTGTGTCATCAGCTGTCCCTCTAGAGAACCAGCCACCTCTGAAAGGTGAGAAATACGGTGGGCAAACACAATGACAAAACGCTCTCAAGATTGCAGAGAAGCCAAGAAAGCACATATTAGCACTTCGGTGATGGCTCCAGGAGGCTCCAGTGGAAGCTGCAACTTGACCCTGAGCAGCCAGGGCTGTAACCTCTCTGAGTGTAAAAGGCAAGGGGAAGCCATTTGCTGTCAGCAGGGCTGTTTACCCCTCTTGAATCTAAAGACAGCTTCCCCCCTTCCTCAATTCGCACCAACCTGTATAAGCTCCACTGCGGGCTTCCCATTCAGGAAAGCTGGTCAGTAACTCCAGCATTGCTCCACAAAGCCTGCAGCTGGCTGAGGAGCTCCCGTGCAAACGCAGGCACCTGATTTAATTGTTGATAGAGGGAAATAATAGGTATCTCTAGCAGGTCTTAATATGATCTTAAAATAGGGGGAAAGTTTTCTGTTATGACATTGACATAGAGGCAATGATTTAGAGTAATGCAGGATGATGTGGAGATGCTTTAAGATTAAATAAGAGCTATATAAAGGCTTGTCAGAATGAATTCTAATGTGCCATGAGACACTTTGCATACTCTTAAATATGCAAAATGTCTCTTGGCACCCTAGAATTCATTCTGACAAGCCTTTATATAGCTCTTATTTAAACTCCTACTTTATTTTTCGGGAACAGGTACTCAGAGAAACTCTTTGAATGGAAGCAACAAAGGGCAGTGTTTATTGATTTTGTTCTGTAGTGAGGGGAAAAAAGAAACAAAATACAAAAGAGCAGTCAAAAGTGGAAGCTTGTTTAATATTGCTCTACCATCATCCTGAAAGGCATAATAATTTGAGTTACACATCTGAACTGATTGGAGTTACAGAATCATATCTCCTTTTTGCATTTAACAATATATACAATATAAAATAAATACATTTACACAAATGGACATTTGCTGGAGCACAGAGTATGGTACACATCACAAAAATATACAATTGATTGCTTTACAGATGTGAAGCCCATCTACAGCTATAGACATGGTTTTATTAGTATTATTATTATTATTATCATTATTATTATTTTTACTACTGGCTATAATGCAACTCCTGGATTATTATAAGCAGTTTAAATTTTTTTGTCCTTTTACGATCTTTGCACATAAGACTGCCATAAAATGTTTTCCTAGGCAGGTAAACAGAGACGCTTAAATAATTAAAATACAATCACCAACACCCATTTTCTCTTCTATAAGAAAAATAGCAGTTTTAAATTTTTTATATCTTTTATGTTATCATTTAAATGCAAAATAGTGGAATAAATACAACAATCTGATCTGATTGAAACACGAGTGTAACTACAAGGAGTCACACAATCATATTGCTTTAAATAAGAACAAACCTAAAAGAAGCAAAATAAAAATTGAAATCATATGGCTAAAACATACACCTTAAAAACTTTCCAAAACTTCACATTAAGTAAATGGTCTTGCTTGACACTTGAAAAACCTTCCTCAAGCAAGATTTTAAGATGAGTATTTACCCTAAAGCCCGTGCAGTTCTTTTAGATCTACATTTTAATTTTTCAAAAATTTTTTTTCTATTTGTGAAATACTTGTTCTTTTGTGATGCTGAGAGACAAACTGAAAACTAAAAATTGTATTTCATTCTTTTAGTGTATCTCCATCTCATGTTTTCAGTTGGTTGGCTCTTACTTCTGAAGCCCAAGTACTTTAATGTGATACAGTGAAAACGATGTATATATTGTATATATTATATTTATATATTGTGTAATTGAATAGTAGCAACTTAAACCCTGCACAAACTTTCTGGAAAATAATCTTTTTAAACACTTACATATATAAATAATCTTATAGAATCAGCACCTTTTTTCCCAGGAGTTGTATTTTCTGTTGTTATTCATTTTTAAAGGGATGTGCCAATTTCTGAACTCCTATCACAGCTATAAATTTCAAGTTATTGACCATCTGAATGAATTGCTAATGATGATTTATCTAGAATCACACTACAGTCACTTCTCTACTGAGAAACCACAATCTACAATATAGTCCCATATAGCTAATGATAGATACACAGTATTCCTAGCACTGGGTTGATGAAATATCAACCCAAGGTATTTTGTTTAAAGCACACAAAGTAGCAATAGTTTTGGAAACGAGTCCGCACCAAAAAGTTTCGCAACAACACAGAGCGAGTTAATAACAACATCTGAGAGATGATTGAGTGAAAGCCATATATACAGCATTTAAAAATTAGACTTATCTATATTCTTGAAATATTCAAAGTTTTATTTCTAAGCTATACATTGGTATTCTATAATAAACCATTAGAGAAATTATTCCTTGTTTTGAAAATATTATTATGATTTTGATGTGTATCTGTTCATAATGAATACTTGTTTGGAGTTTCAATCTCTTAGTTATTATTAGGAAGAACCTTATTACTGGTAAGGAATAGAATATACTACTGTAGTCTCCTGAGGAATTGTACATCCAATATTGTCTCTAATTCTACCCTGTGTCTAAAAGCACACACCACAAGAATCCTAACACCACAAGAACAAGACGACAGTCTTTGAATGCAACATAAAATTCAGAAAAGCACAGCAAACATGAAACATTGAAAAGCTGAACTACATTTCTTTTGTTTGTTAGGATTACAATTTTAATTACATCTGTGTACATAGAATAAGACTGTTCACATAGTACAGGGAGCAGCTACTAACACTGGTCCATTGGTATAGCATTTGATGGAGGTTACTGTTTATTGGTTATTCGGCGACTGTGGATTTCGGGGGCATCTAATTGATTTTTTCATTAGATTACACCTCTTAACAGTCTGGAACCTGACTGACTTTCATGCTGTGACAATACTGGTTGAAAAGCACATATATTGGCTTAGCTCTTGGTAAAAACTGCAGATTAATACAAATGAACATTCCTAAATGAATAAACTCGTATGGATTGGGTTTTAGAATTTGGTCAGGTGTCTGCTGTCTTTGATGATTTTTTTTTTATGATTGAGATATATATATTTTTTAAATTCTGACATCTGCCTTATTGCCACTTAAATGAATACTGGCTCACAGCTCCTTCTAAGACAAGGTCTGTAACTTCGCAAACAGGCAGTATCTCATTCCTAACCACCAGGGCAGCTAGAAATCCTATGGCAACTTTACCTCCCAGGCAGAGAGTGTGATCGTGACAATTCTACAGATCTGTATTCCATGTGCAATGCTTATATATGTGACTACTCAGAGTCACTGTAGGTGTAATCTAATCCTTGGTGTCAGTGAACATTTAGGTAAACTGGAGCTCATGTTAAGAAATTGATGTTTGGGACCAGACTGGCACACAACATAAATTGCATCCGTGATAATATGCACCTTCCCTTCAACTATTGCTTGAGTAAGTTAAATTCCCATATTAATAAATGGCTGAAAAGTGGTAAAGCTGGTACAAAAAAATCTCCATTTGTAAGAAGAAACAAAACATTTTTAAAAATCTTCCTTCAGGATTCATTTGTCCTTCATTATTGTTCATAATTGTTCAAAGCCAGCACAAAATTGCAGTATTCTTATTCCTCTTTAGTATTGCATGAATGAATAAAGCTTAAACTATTCCCTGAAAAAGTTACATAGTAGCTAAACTAACAAATACCTGGAAGACTTGAAAAAACAATTAAGGAATCAAATGGCTGTAACTGATCTAGATGGAAAAGCAATGATAAGAAGCAGCCGATGCCACGTTGCTTCAGTTGTCTAATTAGAGGCTGCTCCCATGAAATCTAATACTGCACTCAGTCAATTCGCTTCTGTTGCACTGTACTTTTAGGTATGTTGGTTCTCTCGCTTTGATTCCTTAGTCACTGGGGACATTATGGTTCACAATAAGTTCACTGGTATCCATATTATGGATCCCCATCCTTTGGCAGGGCTGGCTTCCATCTCTCTTCAGTTAGAGACCTCTTTTTAAAAGTTTAGCAGCAGAAGGAAGGAAAAGAGAGGAGAGGAAATGAGAAAAGAAAGAAGGAGAGGAGGTGATAGGGGAGGAGGAAGGCAGGAAATTTTCCTTATGATTAGAGCTATTTAAATTGTAGAATAAAACAAGAGGATGAGAAAAGAGAGGAAGCAGGAGAAGAAATGATGAGGAAGGAAGGAAATGAGGGAGAGAAAGAATCAGTAATGAAGGAAGTCAAGAAATGAGAGACAGGGGAAAGAAGGGAGGGAGAAAAACATAAAGAGGAAGAGATATGAAAAGGAAAAAAAGAAAGAAAGAAAAGAGAGTGAAGGGATGAGAGATAAAAGTAGAAAGAAATGCATCCGGAAGATATGGAGGAATCTGAAAGCTGCTTCAAAGTCTTGCTGCTAAAATATCAGTGCAGTCTGTGTTGGTTTCTGATGTTGGTAACTAAATTCTAAGTTTCTTCGACATCACTCTCGGGTTGATTTTCCCTTTTTCAACGTGCAGGATGGGAAGGCCCAGGAAGCTTTTAGTCAGACCTTGGCCTCCAGCATTTCCAAAAAAAGTTTGTGCATGGGGACTTTGCCTTCCAGTTTGATGTTGTAGAAATGCTGCACAGCCTTGGTGGACGTCTGCCTCAAGAGCGGGAGCGTCATTAGCATCTTGCCAGCTCGGCGAGGGTCTTCCATGTGCTGGCCAGCCTCATAATCCTGCAGGGCCTCATGTAAGACATCCTGAAGCTTCTGAACGGCTTCCACATCTTCTATGTGCATGGAGTCTGTGCAAGGAAGCAAAACATACAAATAATCATGTGAATAATAAGCCTTTGCAGCTTAAAATTATAAAAAGTTAAATAGACACTAGAACCAAACAAGGACACAAGGAAAAATATATACCAATATCCCTGGTGAGCATCAATACAAAAATTCTCAACAAAATACTAACAAATTGTACTCTTATACTTCTCTAAAGTCAAAGCTGTGATTTGTTCAGAGTCTCACATATCTAAAAATATGTTTTCTTTTCCTAAATTTTACTACAGTAATTTTCTACACTAGAATAGAATATGGGGATGATTCTAAAAGATTATTAGTTAATCTTGTCTGTGATTTTGTTTTTGTTTTTTTAACCTCTTAAGACTGAATAAGACAAAATTTCCTATTAACAGATTACAATCTCAGCTATTTTATTCGTTGTCTTATTCAGCTATTCATTCATTCAACAAAAAATGGTGGGAGGTCATCTATTCAAAGTGTTATTCTAAGTGCCATCTGAGATGAAGTTGTTTAAAATCTCGATCTTGTCTGTAAAAAGCTCATATTTCCCAGAGGGGAAAAAGTTGATGACTAAGATCTTAATTAACAACTCCATGTGAATACATTGAATCTAGCACTATATCGCAATCACAATAAATTCTTTTTCCTTTCAGGATTTCTAATGTACTAGTAACAGTTCATTAAAGCATCCTTACATACTCCCCATCTTCCTGCTGAAAAACAAATGGTGTCTTTAGGTTACTGAGTTGTGAAATTTTTTTTTTTCACATTTGTGAAGGTGAACTTTGCCCCTGAGCTGACTAATTTGAAAATCTAATTCAATCGGGCAAAGAAAGGGTTAACAAGGTTGCCACAATTCTTCTTGGGAGAAATGTGAGATGTGGGGGGAAAAATAAAAGTTACAGCTCAAGCGCTAAAACAGACACTTAATTATATACAAGTTTGAATCATTTAGCACGTTTTATTGATTCTGATGACAGTTTATCTGTTAATTACACATAATGGAGTCTTTGGGGGATTCTTCATGTTTAATAATTCTAGTTCTCTGAGAACGCTGAGCTCTAAGATATATGTAGTTAGCCCAATCTTTCATACAATTCAATTATAGGCAAAAACGGAACGAAAAGAGAGGAAACATAATTTAAAATCAAGTGGCTAAACATATAATAAAAAAGAAACAGGCAAAGTCATTAAAAGAAAGATGGCTATAAGAGGTAACATGTGGTTTTTTTTCAACTTCTGTGCATTTTGTTCGTTGTTTTTCGTCAGTGCTGTCATTTTGAATCATTTCACCACATAATTGGTGAATTGGTCCCTGTTCGCATAATAACAATTAATGACATATTTCTGTAAAAGAATTTTAATAATATGGAATATAGTTGTTTTCACTACTTACTGCTCAAGATATAATTTCTGCTTGGTAGAGTAAAGTAAACAGACAGATAAAAAAATGGAATCCTTCAAAGTGTAGAAGAGCATTGAACCAAGTCTGGGGACCTCACCAACAGTACACCTAGGCTTTTCTCCAGTCTGGCTCCTATCCATATGGCAAGCTCATCCACCTCCCTTAGTGTCCTCTTTGAGAAGCCAGTATGGATGGGTTCTGAAGTCCCTAAGTGTCCGTAAAGTCAGCAATGAAAGTACAGTCATGGAGGTGTGAAGACATGTACTCTCATATATTTTTTCTTTTTTTTTTTTTTCTATTTTTGTACTTAAATGCCGCCAGAAAGAAAAATCGGGACAGGGCACAGACATACTCAATCTCTAGGTATATAAAAGGCAGTAAACACCTTGTACATAAGGGAATGCAGATTAAATGAATTTATCTAACCTGTCCTGGGACTGTAGGTTAGCCATTTACATGGAAAAACAGGATGACAGATGGAGGGGGAAGATGAGAATTACATTCATTAGAGACAAAGTAAAAGTAAAATGAAATAAATATTTTCCAACTAGAATCAAAGAAAGAATAAAAGCCATAGATTTATCATCCCTTTGGAGTTGAACATTGCCCCATTTCAGCTACTAATGGCCCCACCAGTTAGGTATCTCTGATACTGTGTCGGAGTTCACCTTAAACTTGTTTTTCTTTGAATAAAAATTATGTTGCTGGAATGTATAACACTGACATTACCATTTCCTTTTGTAAAAAAAAAATGAGATGCAATTAACCTCTGAGCTCATTTTATTGCAACTTCCATCTTCATCAGCAATGTTCTCTACAACTCTCATAGCAAGAACATTCCCAGGTATATGTAGAATATTCTACTTGACAAGAGAAAAAAACTAATTATTAGAAACTTCTTCCTCATATGTCTATTTCCAAATCTTTCCAAATTCCTTCCTCAAGTCCTGGCTCTAAGTACTGGAATGATCCAGGAGAGACTCCCCTTTTCTATATGAGAGAACCTTAAAATGCTTAAAGTCAGCAACAGTCACCTCAGCCCACACCCTGAGCCTTGCCTTTCCCACTACTCTGCTCAGCAGGAGATATATTAGAGGATGTCACAGGAAATGAGGCGAGAACAAATAGCAGAGAGATATGCTCACAAACAGCAATTAAGACTTCAAACTATTCTTTAAAGGCTGTGATTTAGCTTGAGAGATTTAAAAATGATTTAATCAAATTACTATGATAATTTAACTTCCCATTTACAGAAAAGATTCTAACTCATTTTAGCTTTACCCATTCTCGGATCTGCTAATACTTTAAATGCAAACTCACTAAATCTGAACTATTTAATTAGACCATGATTCAGCTGGCAGACTGCTGAAGAAAATATTAATCTCCATTAGAGATCCTAGTTCAAGTTCTGGCTCTGTGGCTTTAATCTGTTTTGTTCTTTGGGCTAAATTTACATGTAGATGCCAGGCTTAACAGAACTGGCATTAATTTGTGTAATTATTTAGCTTTGGTTGTTAGTGCTGGTTCCTTTTTAACTATGCTTCAAAGGAAATAGTACTAGTATTTGTGCTAATGCAAACCAGCTAAACTTAATAATGAGGATCACTGGTTTATGAACTCAACCTGACAAAGTGAGACTGCACATTCAAAACATCGGTAAGCTGTTAAAGAACTTGGATATCTAGGCCCAGACCTATTCAATCAAAATACTGGGATTGAATCCAGGACATTGGTATTTTTAAAAAGATCTAGGCAATTCTGCCAAGCCGGTACTGAGAACTAATAAACTGAACAATAAAACAAACAAATGCTTTTAAAAAGAAACAAGATTTCAGAAATAACCAGAGTGCAAGTGTCCATACGTTGTCAACCAAAGAAGTTTCAACACCAAACAATAAAATAGAATTCTTTAATAACGTTCAATATTTTATTCTGTGAATGGGATCATAAAGGAATGTGCCTAGTTCAGATCATTTACTCCGGGAACATAGCTAAATATCTTTATATCTGCAGTTGCAAAATTCAATGAGTCTTAGAGACATTATGAAAGAAATTTTCTTTTTATGTCTTACCTGGAGTAAAACACTTCCCTTTTCTATGTTAAAATATTTATTTTTGTGGGCATGGGTGTAGCGACTCCAAAATGCCCATATCCTGTTTGGGTGTTGTCTTCAGCAACTATAGCTCAACCTTGACAATATATTCTAAAAAGTTGCCAAATCTCATATTGAGGATGGGTCCGAATGCTAGAAATGCACCAAGTGCATTCAGAGTCAAGTCTAGTACAAGATCTAAACCAGCAGGATAACCTTTTTGGTGGAGCACAGGTGTTGACTATCTTTGGTGTTTGTTGTACTGCCTATATGAAGAGTGGCAAGGGCAGGTCATTGTGACTCTGTCCAATCATTAAAGGAATGAAACAGAATTGGCTGGAAAGGATGAAGATGTGAACAAAGGTCCATTTTCTAATAGAGAATTAATGTATCAAAATTTCAACACTAATTCATGAAGAGTCCCAACAGAGTGAACCTAAGGGTCATGATCAACTAGGGTCCTAAAGAACATTGACTGACTACATGGCAAATGGGCTCTTGATTAACATACAGAGTTGCCCCTAAATTTAGAGAAAAAGATATTTGTCATAAAATTTTGGTGAAAAATAGGTAGATGTGATTCTAGAAAACTGGCAATAGGAGCAGCAAATTTTTTTAATCTCTCCAAGTGTGCATATAAAATGACAATAAAACAGAGCAACTATATGGCAAATCTAGAAACCTATGACATTTACAGCAGAAATAGGTGATGAAGTATCCCTAAGATGTGTACGTGCACACACACACATATACACACACTTAGTGGATCTGTATTCCTACTTTGTTCATGGAAAGGACCTAGCAAGGACAGCCCACCCAGAATGTACCCCTAGCACCCAGGGGTACACCTAAAATCTGATTCTAGGCTGTGTTTAGGAAATCTTTAAAATGAATATGAAACATCTTGTCATACCAAATGGCACGAATACTATTTATAACTACAAGATCAATCGAAAAAAGATTTCAGAAGCCAACCTGAAAAGGTTTCCACTGACCAAAAATGGAACAACCTGAACTTCAAAAAGGGTTATGACTATAATTTATTGAAGTCCATTAAATATATTGGACATGTATTTATCATTATATTAAAAAGAAAGCAATATTTTTAAAATTCTGAAAACTGGTAAAGAAGGAAAAAGAATCAAACATTTGTACTACTCTTCCTAAACTATTTCACCAGTAACTGAATGAAAATCAGTTACAAAATTACAAATCACCATTGTACAATCCCCAGTGAATTCAGGTAATGAACATCCACAGCTGCTAACATCCCAGACAGTATGTACTTCCCAAGGAGCAACACACCAGCTTCAGGTGACATCGGGATAGAATCTGGGTCTGAGTTAGTCTCTGGGTCCAGTTACTAATTTGTACAAAATGCAAAAAGCAGAAAACACAATGAACTGAAATCTTCAAAATCTAGACTGTCAAATGCTATGGCTTGTTTAGTAGATAAAACAAAAATGAAGGAGAAACTTGTAGATTTAGATATAGAAACCTGAAA